TCAGTGGGGGAGATGGACCAGCATGAAAAGTCGACCCGAAAAGTATATGTTGAATTGCCTGAGCCATACAAATGCTATTAGTATTGCCCATAGAAATCGATAATGTGAATCTAGGTTGTCCAATTCATTGGAATAATGTGATATTGCTCAATTGAGGGTCATAAATTGTAGACGGGCAGGTAAGCTCCAGAAGTGTGTCACCATAGGAGTTCGTTCCCCAGAGTAGCCAGTTTATATAAAGGATCACAATTAATCAATTCCTGCAATTTTAGTTACAAAAATTATCCCGTGTATTAAAAAGTCCTCAGTCAAAATTGAAATCCACTGCAAATGACTCTGGTCATAAATGTCAGAGAATGATGTGAAATAGTAGGGTCCTCTTCATTCCACTTCTAGAGAAAAACGCTCTCAATTCACGTCTTGAATGCCTTCATTTTTAATCTATTTCCCTTCGGTTATAATTAAGGCGAGCCGCCGTGGTCACATCTAAATTGATTGAATTATTTGAATTAAAGGAGTGGTCACGATAATTCTCATAGGGACGATAGAGAGCTATGTAGTGGAGTGGATAGAGGTCCTGCCCGTTACAAACACGTGAAGTTTCAGTGGCAAGTGGCGCCTTATCAACGGAGTGATAAGGCGCCGAAATCAACTCCGTTCAGCAGAAACCAAGACTTATCGATGTGGCAAGGGGTGCGATAAGAGCGTGCTAGATATGAAACCGTTCTCGTTATCGTCCCATTTTCATTTTAGAGTGCACCTCTTATCAAGCAGCCGCACCTTCTTATCTCATCGTATCGTATCTTCCATGGGCTTACACTCGTCCAACAATTACTGCCTCACACCTTATCGTCTGATAACGCGAGGGTAGCAAATTCAGCGTGGAAGCCAGCGTGATCGCTTCCTTTAACTTGGCTGCACAAAGCCCTCAATTAGTATAATTTTCAACTTGCGTAAGCCATCTCTATAGGGGTTATAGCGAGGCGACAGTGACGACGGATTGAATGTGTTGCAATTTGTCGATTGAACAAAGTTAGTTGCAGTAGTGTAAGTTAATCGGAAAGGAAGAATCTTGAAGCCTCTTCATGATTTTTTTACTGAAATCACAGCGACTCAGAGGTTTGGGGACACTTCGGCGTTCAGACTTCCTCAGCGATATACTTGATGGAATTATCAACAGCAATAACGATTAAAACTAGTAACATTCCCTCTTTTTTTGATTATCTCAGTCATCCGCTTTGGAATGTTTTGGACAGGCCTTGAAGTCGCTTCCGGCAATATCCGCTCCCGAGCTTCCTTGGCGTCGTTTTTCACCTGTTCTTCGTTCTCGAACTGTCTGTTTTTGGCTGAACATCGCACAGGTATGCCCGTTGCTTTCCATCGGATTCAAGTAATGAGATTGGCCTTCCGAGCAGGCTCACGCTTCTCTCTTGGAACTACTTTATTGCAGGGGCCCTTACATGAAAAGCGGCGTTGTGTTGTGGGAATTTGACTTCGACGTTTTGAAATCGCTGCATGTCCAAACCGTAACACTACCGCTAAGGAATCTTTTACAGGAGACCGTCAGTTTAAATCACCTCATCCCGTTGACAATTCTTGCTGACGTGTTTGTTCATTTGCGAGAAAGACTCGTATTACTTGTGCGCACTCGTCAAACATTTCGATAAAACTGCCTTTAAACGATGTGGAGACAGGATTTAAGCACACGATCATCAGTATTACTTGACATATCGGGTACTACTTCCTTGCTCAGCCGCCGCACATCACTTGTGGAAGTGGATGCAGCATTGAGATCTGCCTTTCTAAAAATTTACCAGGTCTCCCGCTCCTTTCTTCTTACCGTTAGAGTCAATTTCGCTGCAGAATTTGCTCACCAAGATGACTGATTTCTTTGAAATGCTGCAGTAGCTGAGTCTCGTATCCTTGCAACCTGTAATTTCACCTTTTTCAAAGTCGGATGGGTGCCGTTATAGTGGCATCACTGTCAAACAAGCGTGGTAAGTAGAGCAGTGGCCAACTGTTCACAACTCACCTAAGCCAAAAGGCCGCACAAGATTCGAGTGTCCCTATACTTTCGGAACGTCATTATTATAGAATAAAAATCATAAGAAAACTTCAAGATTTCTTCTTCCCAATTTCACTTCTAGTGGCGTTCAAAAGTAATTGGCCGAATGCTTTTCCTAACCTTTTTTTGTCTGCGGGATCGAATTAATACAAATTTAATTGGTTGAATAGAAGGAAGGAAGAAAATCGAAAACATCGTTTTCCTTGGAATTCCCGAGCATGATCAAATTGTTGCATCTGAACCATAAATAATTGTAAAAGGCTTGTAATCTAATAGAACAGTCGATCGCAAGCATATGACTCAAGCACATTTAATATTTTGCCGATAAACCTAGAGTCACTGAAAAGTTAACGAGGTCTAAGCGCGGAATCACTTAACGAGTTCAGTGTCCACCGGGACAACTTTCTCTGTTTACGAGTTTCTCGTCCATATTCCTGAATATTTTTGTCAATGGTCCTCACACTTGCCCAAAAAGTTTGACGCTCAGGACATGCATCCGAGCTTATCCTTCCGTTAAAAGCATGCCATGCTGTTGAAGAGCCAATTTTGCACGGCAGAGTTGGATGGTTCAATTGTTTTGGTGAAAAACAGACCAGTAGCCCGCGATTACCATAAGAGTGGACGCAGCTTCTTTCAGGATCTAGCTATGTGCGCCAGCATTTACCACTTCTCGAATCCTATGAAGTTTCTCGACTGCGAAATAAAAGGAAATGGAATGGGTTTGCGCATATGTGAAGTGGACATCCCTGCAAAGCTTCAACGTCATCTGGAGCAACGAGAATAATTTTGTAATGCTGGCGACAACGGCACTAAACACGCATGACGTTCTTAAGGAAAACGTTCCGATGTGAAGTATCTATTGCCATTCGTGAAAGAAGGTGAAGACTTGGATATGGTAGTCGGTTAATGAAGATATGTACAAATGCGGGCGTATCCAGGTAGCAATATTCACTCGTCGCTGGTCTATAGTGGCGAGTGATTAGATAACAGAGAGAGAGAGAGTAGGGTTAGAGAAGGCACAAAGAGGAGAGTCGCATCAGTGCGCAAATCAACGAGCAAGGATGAGTCCTACTTCTTGAGATCTGCGGCATTTTCCTCAGCTTTTTGCATCACTGGCCATCTCTAACTTAATTTGAAATGATTTTGAAGTGCTGAGCGTTAACTCGTCCTTTAAAACAGTGTCAGAGTGGATTCCCCACAGCAGTACAGTTTACTGAAACGCTGTATGACTGTACAACAACAAATGTGGACTCCTTTTCAATGGTGAATGTTTACCACAGACTTTCTGCATCAAACTCCGAAGGTCTCGGGTGCATGTCCCCGTTCGAGGTCCCGAAGATTATCGGAGCTCGTAGCATCGGGGATATCCCCTTCGGGGCTTGTTGCACACGACTTCGGGGATACGCCCCGACGGCCTTCGGAACTTGTTGCATAAGGTCGTCGGGATATACCCCCGACGCTGCACTGAAACATCGGGGATGAATCACTTTACCCACGACTAGGGTGATTCGTACTAGACGGCTTGAGCACTTGGCGTGAGTTTGAATTTTGAAACTACTTTGGAATTCCTTTCCTTGAACAATCAGGATCCATTACACGACGATCTGTGTTCCTGACGACGTTGAATGAAGGGATGGAATTGTGAGATTCTGAGGAGTAGGTCGTATTTGGGAATATGTGTCGTACATCTAGATGGCACAGCATGAGAAAAGAATTTTTTATTATCCTAGTGAGATTTGGAACGTTCCCATGTTTTTTTTTCAACAAATTCGGTTAGCTTTACGGTTTAGCAGCCGTGTTGCTTTTTTACTACTTCCCTATATCTCTCCCCTACTCTTCCACACAATTTTTGTTTTGATAGCGGAAGCAGAAGTCTGTGAAAGATGTAGAGTCTGGTACAGCAGAGACCACTATCGAAATCGCCATTCATCGAAATGTGGGATAGGACATGTGGAGTGATTCATTCGCCGTATTTTGCTCATGATGAACCTTGTTCTTGTTGAGATAGAAGCAATTCGCTTGAGAACGCACAGGATGACCGACTGAAATGAATCACTTTTGAAGTTTTTTCAACTGTTTTATTTAACACGTTGACGATATCGCGCATTTTGGGTTTTTGTACCGCGTGAGACAAGGGCGCTTTTGCAAGCGCGGCCGTCACACCTCACACCCGTAAGTATTGAACGACAACCTTAGGAGGCTTCTAAGGTACGAAACCATTCCAGCAATATTCAATGCTTAGAAAAAAATCGAAGATATAGTAGCGAAATTCCAATCAAAAAAAAAACGGGAGATGGCGAAGAAAATTGGAATTCAAGTCTTTTTCACTGTAGTGGATGCCAAAACTATTTTCGATGTGGATGTGTCAAGTGGACATATATTTTTCTATCCCTTTTTCTTTGTATTTACTTCCACTACCTTTTCTAACTGACATGTTCATCACAGTAGGAAGAAAACGAGTGATGAACCGAGCTGCCAATTCCGCTCTGCTTAAAAAACTTCTGCTAAACTCGAGCATATTTGATCAAACTGTGACCCATATCGTTTACAGTTATGTTATGTTGTAATCCTTGAAATATAGGCATGCAAACTGGGAAAAATTCCGCATACACTAGAGATAGGGATGACAAAGGTGAGACGCGAACCGCGTCCCAATATCCAACGAGGTGCGCAAAGTAAGAGGTGGTACCGCGTCTAATGTCGTCAATGTGTCAACTGTTTTCTAGATGAACAGGTATCAAATTTTTAATTATTTGTGGTTTCGTTAGCGGCTTCATCCCTTCTCTGCATCTGGCACTATGCCAAGCTCATCACCGACTGAACGCTGCGTGAAGGGCAAGGGCTTCAAAGCTTGTTTCATACTACTTTCGCGGATATGTGTCCACCTTGGGCTTTAGCATACGGCTTCGGGGATACTCTACGACGATCCTCGGGGCTTGTTGCACCCATCCTTCGGATATACAGTAGCGGTCAAAAGATTAGAAACCTTTTAATTTCTGATATAGTGCAGCCAATAGACAATTAAATTGTCCCAAATTCGTGCGTTTCAAAAGTATGTGCACACCCTCAAAATCCACGTTTGAAAGGGAACCATGAGGATTCGTGCTATGAAATCCTTACCAATCGACTTCCCGTAGTCGAACCCATCAGTGGAAGCAAAGCAGATAATATCGCCTTTTTTTCGGAAAAATTTTTGGATGAAATTGTTTTCTTTATTTCAAAAGTATGTGCACACTTGAGGAAGATCAGATTTTGGCGCCGAACTTTCCACCGATTTCAATCCGACTTTGCAGTTTTTATTTCGTCATCATGTCAATTCGCGCCATACTTCTTCCTGAAGATGAGCAAGCTCAGATCAAGGTTCTGCATGATAATTAACGTTCCAATCTAGAAATCGCACGATAACTTGGTCGTTCTCCTTAATGCATTCGAAGATTTATCGGGGACCCTGATAATTATACTCAGTACCCACTCCACTCCATCCACGATCCTTGACTGCTCAGAACGAGTAGCTCACATAATATCGGATTCTTCATTGACAGTCCGAGCTCAGATTTTTATTCCAGTCTCGAAAATGACCACTAAGCCCCTCATCCGCTCAAATGAATACCACTTGACAGACGCTGAGAAAGGCTACTCTCTTCAAGGCCCAGCACAAGTTAGCCACATTGGAGTCTGCTCGTACAGACATGGCAACATAGGATAGGACACCGGGCGAAGACAAGGTTTTTCGAGAATTTCCTATTTTCAAAACAAACAACTTTTTATGGACTTTCTCTCCTCAGGTAATCTTAACTTATGGAAAGAGTTCGCTTTTGATGGGCCGGGTGGATTTTGCTACTACTGGAGAGGCTTGGCCGTGAGTCTCTCGTGCTCTCGAGAAGGAATTTTGGAAGAGGCCCGTTGATGGGTCTGCGGCGGTTCTGCAATCAGCGGAAATTCGAAAGTTGCCAATCCATTATTGCGTATAAACTGTAACGAATACCAAACTGCTCCAATGTCACCTGTTGCCCTTCCTTAGCGAAGCGGAGCGAAAATTGCATTTTTAGCAACAGGACCACGTGTCTTTCAATGCTTCGCAATCTACCAAATCATGGCCTTGACCAAATGGTGCTGAAGCGATAGGTTGGCTTGTGTGTCTTCCTTACTGCAACCCTATAGGGAGCCCTTGATCAAGGCGTTAATTTTAGCAGCCGGCGATAATGTGAACTGAAGTCGGCGGGAGAGGCTATTTGGGCCGACAGCGACAAAACGGCTACTGCAAAACTTGTTCAGATTATGCGGACAAGATGTTTGAGCTAATTAGAAACTCTGGAGCCTTACTGATTTCTAATCTCAGCTATGTTTTTTGTCTTGTTAAGTGTGCACAAACTTTTGAAACAAAGAAAAATTTCATCAAATTTTTTTTGCGAAAGTGAAGCGATATCATCTGCTTTGATTCCATTGATAGGTTATCGACTACGAGAAATCGATTGAGAAGGGTTCATAGCATGAAACCTCACCGCGGGTGAACTGAAGTCGGCGGTAGAGGCTATTTGGGGCCGACAGCGACAAAACGGCCTATTGCCAAAGTGGTTCAGATTATGCCGGACAGATGTTTGAGCTAATTAGAAACTCTGGAGGCCTTACTGATTTCTAATCTCGCTATGTTTTTGTCTTTTGTTAAGTGTGCACAAACTTTTGAAACAAAGAAACATTTCATTCAAATTTTTTTTTCGAAAGTGAAGCGATATTCTTGCTTTGCTTCCATTGATAGTTATCGACTACGAGAAATCGATTGAGAAGGGTTTCATAGCATGAAACCTCATGGTTCCCTCTCAAGTGAATTTTGAGGGGTGCACATTACTTTTGAAACGCCCTGTATTAAATAAAGCATCGAGCGTAGATTACGATAAGCGACAAAATTTTTTGGAAACGAGATCCACTTTTAAAAAATGCGAATTTTCATCAAAAATGGCGCGTCAAAGTTTGGAAACTTCCCAATTCCACAGCAAATTTGGCAAAATAACCCTCGAATCTACATGACAAATTAACTATTCGATGAGCAGCTGTGAGTTTCTATGTCAGCGTCGTTTTTATTGGCATGGAGTTGATTATATGTATAATCATATTAGAGCATTTAATTCGTACCCTACACACTGCGAAGTGAATTACACTGCTTGGTGGGATTCTTGAGTGTAATATGGGTTGTGTGACATTCCAGCTCCTCCGTGGGATGTAGAACTCAAATAAACTTTAGATTTGACTTGGTTGCCTCAGAACAGCTTCTTTTTTATGGATTTAGGAAGGGGGCAGTGAGGATGTATGCCTGCGTTAGGTCATTCCGCGATTGAAAACCTACTTTTCGGCTGGTTCTAACTATTGAAGGAAAGCCTTGCATTTCACAGACTACTCGTACTTACTTATCCCACATTTCGCTGGATACGTAGAACTGAGGAATCACCGAATGGTCGAAAACATGTAATCCATGACAGTACTTTGACTTCTGACTGTTGAAATCCTATACTCAAAATGCGTTCTCTATTTGACAGAACACTTCATAAGATCCACAACGGTATTTATAGAAGGACAGAAATCCCATTCGTCGCTGAGGACAAAGTTTGACTTCTCGCCTTAGGTCTATGATAGCCGTTAGTGTGCGGACGAGAGTCGGGCCATCCAGTTCTTGAAGCCCAACAATAAATTCTTGATGGGACATCATCTGGAATCTTTACCAGATCACAGCGAAGGTTCTGCAGAACTTGGACCTTCATATGATTGAGAAAATTCAGAATAAGTCGTCTCTTAGTTGAGGATGTCGGGTGTACGTCAACGACCCTTCGAAGTATTCAGAGAGGGCCAATCTTTGAGAATACTTTCTTCTGAATGATCGTACATACTTCTTGCTTACTCAGCCCTAACGCTGGAAACACCGATAATATTGCTTCCGTAGAGAGTGAACTGCAATAAACAATTTCTCTCGGATTGTAGAGTCTAGAAAAGGACCTCTGATGGGAAACTGCTTCCTTTCCATACGAATTTCTTTTGGAATTACCCATTACTAAGTGGATGAAATAAAATTGACAGAAACAAGTGGACGTTGAAGGGCAGGAACATTATGAAATGGGGAAGAAAAAATTCCAAACTTTGACCGCTACTGTATATCCCTGAGAAGCCTCGGGGCCTGTATACGACTTTGGGGCTTTTTCAATACGGGCGCAGTTGGATGCATAATTAGCATTGGATACTCACATCAGTAGTGGAACGCAAATGAAAAGAGCAAGTGACCGCGTTTCATGCCCTATTTGTTGCAATCAATGAAGATCAAGTATCCGAATGCAATACCAATGCAGATGTCTGTAGATCTGCGGCAAGCACCAATTTAGCTCTGCGCGCTTTAGTCTAAATTGGTACTTACAAGGTAGGTTTTAGTGAAACTGGTAAACCTGAGAAACATTCGCGCATACGAATAAAGCATAGAATGGTAGTTGCTCAATGGAGTGCGATAGTTGATGTTCCATAGGTGACCCAGGTTTGACAAAACCTTCATTGTGATATGCCTGATAGCGTGCCAACTTGAATCAATGCATCATAAAATAGAAAATATCTTGTGAAAAGCTAAAATATAAAGAGGTGAACAGAGAGGTAATCAAGCACCATTTAAAAACAGTAGCTATCAGGCCCACCACTATCATTTGAGTTTCCTGTCTTCTGCTGCATTTCCATTTTTTCCCGCTCTTGAACATTTATCAACCGTATCTAAAGGAATCGTACAAATGCTGCCCACTGAAGACACGCCCCGCCCACTGTAGGCGAGGTTTCTCTTAGTTCAGGTCGCTGGGGACACCCCACATACTGCTCTTCTGAACCAACTTTTCTGCTACTTCCTCCCAATAGAGCTATGAGTGCTTTGATTGAGCGCCACCCATCCTACTATACATAATTCGCTAAGTATGTCTGTCTGTGTGGGTGTGTGTGCGTCTGTCTGTACGTACGTCCGTCTGTTACGAAATTCATAGCGCGCTTTGCTGCAGGCATGGAACGCTGTATTTTGAGTAGGGTAGGGTATTTAGATTTGAGTGTAGGACGGCAACATATTTGGTAGGGTTTCTGAAGTGATACCGACTGATAGATCTGATGAGAGGCGTCAAAACGCAAGTTTTCACGAAATTCATAGCGCGCGTCCCAGCAGCAGTGGGGCGTTGGTTCCAAGAAGTGATGTACAGGGTGGAACGGGAACATGTACGGTAAGGTAATGGAGGTGGTAAGGGCCGATAAACACGTGGGAACCCATGGGGGGGAGGGTAGTAGGGATACTATAAAAATCAATTATCCGTGTTACCTGTACGTTTGGGCTTTGAGCACCTTACCCTCCGCTTAAAAAATTACCTTGAGGGACAGCGGGATACTGTGCGGGTTGTCAAGGTCACGTCCGCCGTTGTCCTTCGTGAGCGGGAAGGTCAAAACGTACATTGTTGTCATTACCTAGAAGATACTTCAGAAATTCCTTCCCGAAGAAAATCACGATTTTATCTCATCCATAAACTGCCTGCTCGGAACCCATTGTCTACGATATCGTTGGTAAGGATCGAAGTAGTGTTTGTGATCGCTCGGTTAGCAAAGGAAATCAAATTCGGGGGGTGTGCGCTAGGAGGGCTGTCATCTAGTTCTATTGATTCATTCCTATTGTTGTTTTTGTTGGATAATTGTCCGCCTAATGTTATCGACAGGGTTGCCCGTGTATCGTGTGCTGTTATCTTGCGCTTGCAACAGCTGTATCACCTGAATGAATCGACTTATTGTCAGCAGATCTTTTAGCACGTGGCAACAAAGCAGGGAGAAGCCTGTTGTATCTATACGCGATATGTGCGAGAAGGACAGAATTACATCTGTTCTGGGGAACAGTTCGAAAATCGGAATGACTGCTACGCGTCCAAATTTCTGCTGGACATCTGTCACAATTGCTGGCGGCGGGAACGCGTCAGCTTGATTCAATGAGTGCTGTAAGAAGAGACTCTCTTTGGCTTTTTTACTTATTGCACTAACATCTCACACTTCTACTGCATCGTAATCTTTTGATCGTTTTGTTTCCATTCTTCGAAGTCGACCGCTTCAACCCGATTCTTTCAATGCGTCTCTTAATACGTGGCTGCGCACTTCTTCCCATTCCCCGCCTTTGACACCACGCGAAGCACCTTCGCCGGTCCATGAGCGTGTTTTCCGTAGGTATGTTGTCTCTCGTGAACTGAATCTTCGTGCGTGAAACTTTGTGTGTTGTCTCCAGTAATCACAACAACGTAGTCATTTTGGGGAAAGAATGCAAGAATGTTCAAAAGAACTCCTTCAACCGCCCCATAATATCTCTCAGTCGTCTTCGTTCTGGTTCTGTGTATTGCTCACAGAGTGTGTTTTTCGAAGACTTGTTTCTTTTCGGGAACTTAATCCTCATGGTTAGAGCTGCAGCTAACTACTGCACATGACGCATTTAGGAGAGAAGCAAAACGAGAAATTTTCCTGCACGATTCCTCGAATGAATCTTCGACTTTGATTCACTCTGACCTCTACTTCCCCATCTTGGCATGCTTGTCATTTAAGGTGCATCAGAATGAGGCACACTTGCCAGGTGAATAAATGAGCGTACGGAAGGCTGCGGAAAGTTGCCCAGTACACCTTATGGCTGATCATCCCAGAAATGTACCACCATCTTATGAAACGTGTCGTTATAGGTGTGCAGCCTACACATGTGGAAGTGCGAGCTCTCGAAAATCCTCGACGCATTCATATAACGACCACCTACGATCCTGAAGTTTTACAATACAGATCGTGAGCTTATATTCACAGACTTTTGTGCTCGGAGTTTTCAGAGTGAATGATTCATCATGAATTTATAAGTATGGCATTAGCTCTCTTCGATTTTCATTGGAAGTTTCTAGAAAACTGCTGAAAGCCTAATCACTCCGTGCCCAGCAACAAAAACCCGTATTTCGTCATTAAACAACTTTGCTTTCAGCATACAAATTGATATTCACTCTTCTGAAGGCAATTTGGTGGCTCGCTTCACTAGCTTAGATGGATCACTGGTAAAATCGTTGTTCCTTTTCGCTCAAAGTTTTTTTGCAAAAAACATCTCGAGATTCCATGTAAATGATGCTGCAGCGTCGGGCTTCCAAATGCTCGGTTACGTTTCATATTCATCGAAGATTTCAAACGGCAATGTCTCCGGTCAGAAACCAGGGAGCTTGACATTTATCGATCAAACCGTTTTACTGGTGGAATCTTGTTAGTGGTGGGATCTCATTCAAGACAGCGTTTCAATAAATCGCAGTTGGCCTGAGGGTTGTTTAAATGGCTTTCTTTTTTTCAGTCCCTCCTATCGGAATGCACCGACATTTGGGTTAATTTTCGCATGAGTTTCCATATACAACAGAGCAGCCGAAAATTCATTGAGAAGCAGCGCCTACGTAGGTTCCATGAACGAGAAAAATAGGTTGTGTGTAGAAAGAGGAAAAAAGAGCGTTGTCTTTGGATGCCCCACTTGATATCCTCTGAGAAAGGTCCTCCAAGAAAAAAACATGATTCTATCCCACCCACAAATCACTGGTTTGGAACCCATCGCTCACGATAAGAAAAAAATTGCGTTTGTTTTGGCCGACAATTTGAAAAACCGGAAGGACTGTCACGCGTTCAAATTTCTGCCGTCAATCTGTCACAAATGCTGGCGGCGGGAGCGATTCTACTCGGTTCCAGTAGTGCTGTCACTAGAAACTTTTTTTGACCATTCGAATGATTGCACTTATGTCTCACCCTTCTACTGCATCCTATTCTATTGATCGTTCGCACTCTATTCTACGCTACGAAATAAAACGCTTTCATCACATTCTTTTACTGCGTCGCCTGTTACGCGGCGGCCCACAGGCGCACTTCTTTCCATGCAATGCCTTTGGCTCCGAGTCACCAACTCACAACCGTACACGAGTGTGGTTTTAAGTTTGTTTTTCTTCGGAAACGGAAACGTTACCTGTACCATTGATCACATGCTCAAGTCGGGAAAGAAAAAAGGTGAACACTATCCAGGGAGGATTCCTCTGATTATCCATTACTATCCTTTAATTATCTATGATATTCTCTGATTGCTGTTTGTTTGTTTGTGGGTTGTTGAGGTCGTGAACACGTTCAACATTCTACTGGGCTAAGTTCATCGGAAGTCAGGGGAGGGGGAGGGTGGCGTCGTAAGCGCAGAGACAGAATTTGAAAACACAAGACATAACAACGGATAAGAGACTTCCCCAAATTTTCGAACACAGACAAGTGCATGATTCATTTCAGAGCCTGAATAATTACTGTTGAACGCTTCGTATTCAGAAAACTGAGCACATAATGAGTTTTTCAATGCGTTCAGACCAAATCGAGTCAAGGTTCTAGGGACTTGTTAGGGAATTATGGCAGAACTAAGACCTTGATTCCAGAAATGGTGGAGATGGAGCGATGGAAACTATTAGGTCGTTCCACAATTTTGAGAACCTTTGGTGTTTTTCGATTTATTACTTATCTTATTTCTCTGATCTACTTATCCAGCATAGTATACATCATTATTATTAACAACATATCGCCAATGCGAGGGTGGGTATTCAGTGCCTCTCTTGTGGACTTTCATAGAGTTCTGATCGAAGGAAAATTGTAGTCCCGAATCAATTCTCAACCCAATCTGACATCATCAAGTTCCTGTAGGTTTCCTATAATTCCTTCGGCTGACCCTCTATAATACGCATTGGTGATGTGGACTGGGTGCAGTGTGCTAACAAATACACGAGCCGCAGTGGAGTTGCTTAAACGATTCGGGAGTTCTGACAGTAAAAACCCAACTCCCTCTGAACTCGAACTTCCTGAGTCATTGGCGCAATACGGGAGGGCCTTTGCGCTGAAGACCGGCATCAACTAATACCAGAGTTAGTGATGGGAGGAATCGTTGACAGCTTGATGGCAACGCCTTCAACTTAAAACGAAGGAAGACAAAATCTATTTTTTTCTGAGGTGTTCGGGCCGGCCTCGCTAAGAAAATTCCTGAAAAATTGGAGACTCTCGGGCGGTCAGTTCTTTTAGCTCCGCCTTGTAGCACTAATCCTGCGTCAACGAACGACAATCCGCTCTCCTCTTTCAGTCACCTTCTGTAGAAGAAATCTCACCTGAATCACCATGGTGTCAAAATCGACATCCAATAGCACATAGGTTCGACGTTCGATGAATCTTGGCATCGTGTGTGGTATTGGTACCTTTGCGGGCTTAGAACGCCGTCGGCTCCTTGCCGATGGGCTAGGTCACCAGAGGCCACCCACAGTTAATCAGTTTAGCGGTGGTCTCAACAAAGTCCGGCCGCACATCTAAGGTGAGTCAGCTGGTGCTTGTGGTTTACGATGCCCCCCATGGATTCTTCTGATCTACTGGGACTATTTCGAAGTCGGAAATGATGTCTGCGGTGGGTCGCAGTGATCTTTGACTTTTCCAGGCTCTGACGAAGGCGACCAAGCCGAAACGTTAGCCGAATAAAGATCTGTAACATCTTGGCTTGTGGCTCCAAACTACTCCAAGAATACCACGCACGATGCCAAGATTCATCGAACGTCGAACCTATGTGCTATTGAACGATGTACCAGCCAACTATTTTCGACTAGTCAAGGAAGCTCTTTCGCTGCGGCAGAAGATCGTCGTAGCGAAGCAGACCACCCATTTTCTCCAACGCTGCGTCCATCACTCTGTCATACCGAACTTCATCAAGAAGAAGAAGCTGCCCGAGACATGCGGTATTTCATTGGACAGCAAGCAGCTACGAGACATCGAAATGCGCATTCTGAAGACCGCTTTGGAAAGCAAAAGAAATCAAGTGTTTTCTATGCTAAACAAATGTGTGTCAAAAGAATTGTATTGTCAACGGTATCTGCCAGGTCACCAGTGGAGGAGAATCATGGGTGAGTCAAAGATTATTTGTGATACTAATCCGTTCCGCATGCTCAGAGTAAGACGCTTCGAAACAAGTTCAATGATTAGTAGCCTGGGGGGATGTCGTATTGCCCGACCACCAGCTGCCACCCGCTAGCATTACGGACCACCCCTTACTGACAACAGTGTTAACACCTACTCCATCTAAGAGTCACTGTCATTGGCGGCGTGAATCTTTCTGACAATGCGCTATCTGTTCTAGAACCTCGGTCCAAGTTTCTCACCAAATCAATCAATAAATCATGGGTATCGCGAAAGGTCCTCGCGCCCTAAAAACTCTTCAGGACAGCCCCGCCTCAGGGCCAAATTAGAGGATGCAGGCCACCAACCTCTACCGGGGTCACGCTTTCCCGCCATTCCATTCCTCCCTTTTTCTCAGGCCACAGGAGCCCAACCACTCAGTGGATGTCAAGTTCCGCCTGTTTGCCACCTCAATCTACGACATAATGAGCCGCAACGTCCATAAGCGCTTCTCCTCAATCTTACAGCAG